TCGTTCGTCTCTCCCTCCTCACAGCGACCATGAGCAGATATCTCGACCCCGCCGAGTCGTCGCAGCCGTACAAGGACCCGACGCCGCTCCCGGCGGACATCCCCAAGGTCAAGGAGCTCGGCGTGACGAGCGCGCCGCTCAAGAGCGCGGCGTTCTTCCTTGGGGCGTATTGCAAGGAGTACAACGGTGCGTGTCGTCCAATTGTGGCACGTTGGGCGGAGGGCAGACGTATGGTCCGAGGGGTTCGGTTCTATGAGGGAAACTCTGGAGAGGAGAAGGGACTGTGGATGGTCTGGTAGGGTAGGGTACTTGGAACGCGAAACTGATACACGACTGTGCATCCTTTCGCAGAGGACTTCATGCTCTGCAAGAACGAGAACCGGGATCCTGCGCACTGTCTCAAGGAGGGCCGACGGGTGACGCGCTGTGCGCAAGATCTGTACGTATACCTATTCAGTCATCATTATCGTCTGCTGAGATAGCATGCTGGAATGTGTACAATTTAGGATCACCAAGCTCCGCGAGAACTGCCTGGCCGAGTTCGAAAAGCACTGGAACTGCCTGGAATACAACAACCAGGTATGCGCTCTTCCCTTATCTATTATTCGGCGTGGTATGTGCTCACACGGACGACAGGAATACTACCACTGTCGCAAGGATGAGCGCGTCCTCAACAAGTGCGTTTTCGAGAAGCTTGTGAGTCGAGTGAATATGGCGTTGGGTGTATACGGCCGTTGACCACACATTTGTTCTCTAGGGCCTCGTCAAGACGATCCCCGGCACGCCGGAGGGCAAGACGCCCATCCATGAGGTCAAGAACCCTATCTACACTGGCGTACAGAAGTAGACCTCGCACATCCAATATACTTGCTGCGTTTGCTTCACGACACCTGCACGCCTTCCGGCCCTCTTGCGTTTCGCTCGGCATGCGCTCGGCGCAGTGGGACAAGCTCTGGCTTTACTTCGGAAGGCGCGGCGGAACGGTACGCCTGTCATCCGTATGCGGGTTGTGCAGATTAGACCGTACAAAGGCAAGCATTAGCAGAGTTGGTACAGAAGGAATGCGACAAGCAGATGCACATGATAGGCAAGAAGGTCAGGCGGGAGATGCGTATGGTATTCCAACGTCCAGGTAATCCGTTTCGAGAGACCGAAGCACATTAACTCCCCCTGGTCCCTGACGCCACCGCCAATCTCCTGGCGTTGGCCTACAGTGGATATCCATGAGGCGTTGCGATGGCTGGTCCAGCAACGAACACCCCACGGCCTAGCGGAGCTACGGCGCGCAGTATGCGTGGGTCTATGCCGTTCAGGGGGACGAGCCCTCTGTGAACCTCAGGATGAAGTTCACGACTATCGCGACTGAGGGCGAGGTTAGCGGACATCCGGTTAGGGACAAAGAAACATACTGAGGAGTGCGATACACAGTATTGTCTGTGCATAGATTCTGTGAGTTAGGACACAACCCCCGGGAAGCGAGGTACATACCGGCCCAACACGGTCGTCGTACGGACCACGTCCACCTTTCCGGATGGAGGCAGCGCGCCAGTGGTAGGTATATAGTGCATATACCATCACGGCCATTGCTGAGCGATATGCGGCGTGAGATTGAGTTGTGTATAGCGGCACACGAGCAGTCCGGATGAAGGCTCACTCACCTACAAAGGAGAACATGGCTGCACTAATCTTCCCCACCTACGTCCACACATTGAACAGGGTGAATGCAGCACGAGAGACGGCGTACCGCACCTTATCGCCAAAATTTAGCAGGCCGACGGCGAGGCCACCGAGGACGACGGTGAAGTGCAGCCATGAGAGGAATGTGCGCTCGTTCGCAAAGGCGACCTTGGGCTCTACTTTGACGGGGAGCGCGATGCGTTTGGCGGCCGTGCGCTGGAGGAGAGGCTGGGTGGACATGGCGGGAGGTGGGAGGGATGCAGGCAGGCAGCGTCTTGGGACTTCTGGGAGGGGAGGGAGATATTAGGCGTACGGGGTGTAGGTATACTCGTCTAAAGATGGCAGGTCTGCACGAACGTGCTTGTCGTCACTGGCCCGCTTGTACCAATGCAGTACGTGACGCCCAGTCACACGCCTTCGCCGGGCACGTGAAGCCGTCACGGAAGCGCGACCTCGGCGAGATGCTGCACCTCGGCAGCTGGGCTTGTTCTTCGATCCTCTCTCCGCTACTCCTTGGGCCTTTATCCGCTCCTTTCTTCCTCTGCGTGCTCGCGCTCTTGCTGCGAGTATGGCATCATCAACGGACGCAAGTGCAACACGAAATGCGGCCGAAAAGGAGTACGTTCCACCTCCACTATCTGTGCAGCAGGAAGGTACGCCGAACGCCACCAGCTTCTCCAAGTTCCTGCAGGTCGCCGAACGTGCGCCCTTCTCATCTCTCGCCAGATGCTATCATCCACACGCGCATTACCAATGACGAAAAGGCCCTCCGACGCGTGACTCGCAAGTTCCACAACTACGCATCCGTCGCATACCCGTCCCTCATACCGCCAACGCCCTCCAACACGACTTCTGTCGACGATGCGCGAGACGCATTTCTGCTCGAGCTGGCTGCATTCCAGCTCTCGCTTAAGAAGAGTCTCATGGTGTGTGAAGCCGAAGCGCGGCAGGTGGAAGAATACCAGCGGGAACGAGAACGCATAGGTATGCCGCCGCTTCTCATTCCGTCCGAGCATGTGGTCCTGAGGTGATCGTGTGACTAGTAAACGAACGTAGTCGCTTGAGGGACCAGATCGAGGAGCTCAAAGCGACACTGGAGCAGGCTCAGCTCGAGCGCAAGCAGAAGATCGAATACGATGTTGTGGCGGAGAAAATCAACACCTTGCCCAGTCGAACTGAACTTGAGCGGTGCGTCCACCCGTCTGCGCTTGCTCCATAAGCGATTTATGCATGTTCTTCAGGTCAATACAGGCGCTGGAGAATGATATGGCCGCTATCAGAGCCGAACATGAGAACCAGAACCGCGTACTGCATGCACAGAAGGCCGCTTTGGACACGGTGATTCACGACATCAATGTTCTTCGGCTCATGGGCAAGGACGCAGCGGAGGAGTCGACCGCCGCCACGCCCGCACCCGAGACCCAGCCAGGAGAGGATGTGGATATGGATGGCACAGCGAGCGTGCGCACCCGCGAGGAGTCAGGAGAGCTCAGAGAGGACGCAATATCTCGGGCAACCAGCACCGCCGCGAAGTTGGTAGAAGACACGCACGAGTCGGATGAAGACATACCTTTGTCGAAGGCTCTACTCAACCCCGCGGCACGTTCGTTCATGCCGAAGTCACGAACAAATACCCCCGGACTACCGACCTCTCGCAGTACATCTACGATACCGTCAAAACCAACGGTCGAAGACGACATCGAGATGGGCGAGATTGGCGAGGAGCCAAAGGACGCAAGGGGACGGCGGAAGACTAGGGTAGAGGAGCTGGAGGAGGGCGAGGCGAGCGACGAGAGCAGTGAGCTGTCTGAACCTCCAGATGACTGATGCTGACGTCGCCTTGGATTTACTTCCTGTTGTACATACATTTTGGGGCTTCTTGTATCACTACTCACCGCTAGGTCGGTCCTCTCCTCGCGGCCCAACATCGAAACTCATCAGGTCTCGCGCGCAAATCACCTCGCCACTCCCAAAGCTGTTCACCGCCAATTCGCGTATGCCGTTCATGATCCGACGCGCCTCCTCGTTCACGTCGTCGTTGCCTGGGTATCTTGCAGAGAAATGGTTCAAGACGAGCTTGCGCGCACGTATCCTCTTCGCAAAGGCGCCTGCCATCTGCGGTGTCGAATGTCCTCTCGACTTTGCGCGTTCCTCTACGACCTCGTACGTGTCCGTCTCCTTCGTGTTCGGGTCGATCCCAGGTAAGTGCGCGTTCGTAGCTTCATGTATCAGCAAACACGCATCCTCTGCCAAACTCGCTATGGGAGACGGGTCATAGGTATCTCCCAGAATGACGATCTTTCGCCCTGGCTTGCGCGGCGGCCCGTGCAGCACGGTCCCATCCGAGAGCGTGACTGACTCGCCCCTTTGCAGCCTGCTCATCGCAGACATGGGCGTACCCGTGCGCTTCAGCTCGGGGATGTACTTCTTTGGGTCCATCTTCCCCGGCACTGGCAGCTCGTTCACGACGTACCCGACGCAGGGCACCGAATGCAGAATTGGCGCGGCGGAGACCGTCACGAGCGCGCCCTTGTAGATCTCGGGCCACACGCCCTGCTCCGTCTGGGCGATGTTGCGACCCGGACGTTCCATTGGATGTGGCAGCATCTCGGTGTAGTCGCCGTCCTGCGGGTCCGTCGGTAGCCGGAGCTCGTGCACAACGTAGGGCGCGCCGAGAAGCGTGTGCGTGTACGCCAGTCCGTGCCGGACGTAGGCTCGCGTCCCTAGGGGGCCATAGATCTCCAGCGGCTGCGTGCATGCAGATTATGGGGAGTTGAGCGAGTTATGGCGCGGATCTTGGCGTTAGCTGGCGGGAAAGAGCACTGACTTGGACGTCTTCGGTTGGTGCGGTGGACGCCGTTTGGGCGCGGGGATCCTCTGCACCGTCGACCATGCCTCCCGCGCCATTCAGCCGCATAGCAAGGACAGGCAGTAGGCCAAAGATATGATCGCCTGGTGCATCTCATATTAATGATCGTATCCTCGGAACACCGAAGATGCGTTCCTCACCATGGGTATGGGTGATGAATATCTTTTGCACCTTTCCTACCTTGACGGAGCTCTTCTGGATCTGGTGCTGGGTCGCCTCGCCGCAATCGAAGAGCCAAACGTCTCCATCAAGCCGCAAAGCCAGAGAGGAATGGTTGCGTGTTGACGAGGGCTGCGCCGACGCGCTGCCCAGAATCGTGATGTTCACGGAGGTGAGAGAACTCATATGAGGTGCTTGACTTCGCACATCCTCTGTGTCGCCGAGTTCAATGTACAGTACTCCCCGCCTTTCTAGTTGTGACTGGCCATAACCAGGGTAGTAGGAACGTCTACCGGTCCCTATCGATTAGTGGTCAGATCATCACGTTGTGGTTCACACAATTCCGTGAAGACGCCGGCTCGAATCCGGCTAGGGACACTTCTGGTTACTTTTTTGCGCCTCAACCACAAACATCAACATGCCATCGAGGAGTCGTCCAGTAAGGCGCTCGCGGAGAAATGTGAAGGCATCTTCGAGCAAAGCCAAAGTTGACGAAGGTGTCAGCGAATACGACGTTGATGACACGGATGCTCGTGCCGCTCCAGCAGAATGCACTTCACCTCCGGAGACTGAGTCGTTGCAGGTAGTGCCGCATTCCTAAGACTTTGCAAATATACAGAAGGACCTAGTACGTTTACTGACCGGATTCACGCAGTCGCTACTTCAACGAGCCCTAGGCGGTGCAAAGGAGCTAGAGCGAGAGAATGCAGCTCTCCGCAAGAAAGTGGGCGCACTTCAAAGCAAGCTGGACCGCGTTGTGGAAACGGAAGATGTGCAATTGCGGCCACAGCGGGGCAAGAGACGTTCAGGCGCGACAGCTGCCGAGCTGACCAGTGAGGTCGACCGACTCCGGAAACAAGTACAACGACTCGAGAAGGTGAGTACGCCGGAAGTGCCATCGTCAACAGGGCGACCTTGTACTCACGGGTCCGCGACCAGTCAAACGAGAAGCACAGAAAGAGGATCCATGAGGTATGTCTGGTAGACTAGTACATCACTGCATTTACAGAAATGCATCGATGCAGCTGAGCATACGAGAACTCAAGAACGAGGCGGAGGACTTGGTAGAGACGGCAGAATTCGAGGTCGGGGATACCGCTCACAAGATGCGCAAGGCAGGATTGTCTCCCAATTACTAGCCAAAGCATCCTAATGCAGAAGAGTAGCTGCTCCGCAGATTCCACGATATCATGCTCGAGAACTCGTTGGAAGAGAACGAGGAATGTCCGATCTGCTTGGAGATTCTGCAGCCGAAGAAATGTCGAAGGTATGCTAATTCTGATCCTATGCGTCCAGACGATCTGATAGGTTTCGTTCTATATGGTAGTTTTCCTTGTGAGCACACATCCTGTGATGGGTGCGTAGGGAAATTGGACGCAGTGCCTGGACAACCCGAGTCAATTCGATGTCCTCAGTGCCGGATGGTCTGTGAGAGGGAAGAGACCGTGCTCGTACAGTACACCGCGTCTGAGCAATGGGACGCCCTCCTCGAAATAGCTAACCAATGGGCCAAGATGGACGTGCGAAGAGCCGAGTCGACCAGCGAAGAAGAGGATGCTGAGGACTTCATTGACGACGGCCAAGAAACGAGGTCGGTGATTCTCCCTAACATCGAGTAAACACCCTAGTCTCATCATTACTGTGCAGTACCACCGCGTCTGAACCAGCACCCCGTAATCCTCTCGAAAGCTCACCAGAACCGGCAGCACAAGCAGAAGAAGATGCGTCTCCAGAAGCTCCCGGGCCCGGTAGATTGCGCAAACGGCGTGCAATAGTGACACCGAGCCCTGAACCAGAGCCGAATGGAACGGGGTAAGTTACAGTGTACCATGATTCCCACATAGAGTTCTTCTAAGCCTCAGCCATACAGTGAGCCAACCGAAGTTGGCCCGTCCGACACTGCTGGAGCGGACCAAGCAAACCCCGATGATACGGCTGAGCCTACGAGTCCTACAACACCGACACAACGCACGCCTTCGTACGCACAATCACCTCCCAGGGACAAACGGAAGTTGTTAGAGCAACTAGCGGAAGCACGCAGCAAAAAGCGGAGGTTGTAAAATATTATACATATCACAAGTTGGTGGAGACTATACACGGACTCGGAATGGAATCACGGAGGTTATGGACTCAGTCCAACTGCTCAGAGTAATTCGACGGCGGCTTTCGCTGGTGATACGATGGCGACAGGCTTACTCGTGAAGTCGAGTGCACTGCCACCCTCGTACGCTACCAGATCACCCATGTCCCCAACCCATCCCTCGAGGTCGAGCAGCTTCTCAAGGTTAGTAGACACGAGTTCATACGCTTGACGCTTGTTGATCCAATTGTTGGATTCGAGGACAGCCTGTCGATGAACCGCGAGTCAGTACAGCAACGTGAAGCAATAGATAGGCGTATCCTGACCCATCCTACGTCAAATCGAGTGTCTTGTACGCGAGAGGTATGCCAGTTGCCTAGCCCGACGGTCACGCCATGCTTGAGCAATATAGCCAACGCGGTCTCGTTAGTCAAAGGAGGCCCTGCGAGGCTGTATGATGCATCAAGTACTATGAAGACATTGCGTGGGCAGACAACTTCAGAGAACTCACGCTCTACGGTCATCCCAAGACCACGGATATTGTCTTGGGGGGCTCAAGATCACCCCAACGTCCGCATGAGCTGCGTTGAATCACGAATGTAAGGAGTGAGCCTGTTACGACTACGGAGTGCTGTACGCGCACCTATTTCCTTAGCGAGCAGGTACGCTTCCGTAGCGCGGGAGAAGACCATGTGCATGTACGTCCCGCGCTTCTCTTCGACCTCGTTCTTAAGGCGTATCAGGGTAGCCATGATGTCTGCACTCGATACGTCAATGACGAGCGGTATGGTCCCCTGTTAGGCGAATGGCATCTATCGGTCAGGTAGCTTTCTTTACACCACCTAGACCGCTGCTCACCTCTGCTGCCTTTTTGAACCACTCGCCAGTCTGCGTGCGGGTGTCTTCGCCTTCAAGCAACAAGCGCCTCAACGTAGCTATCTGACTGCTCAGACTGGGAGCCTGCGGAGAGTTAAATGTCGGCGGCGCTCTCCCGATAGAGATGTGCAGAGCCGTGACGGATTTGATGATAGCCGTCCGTTCGAGGGCGTTAGGTGCGCCGGTACGGAAGGTCGCGGATAGGCCGCCGATGAATTTCCCTCGGAGGAAGAGCGGGGATTGTACAAAGGAAGTCGTGGCGTATGTCACCCCTGCGCGGTGCGCGACTCTACACCAAAGAGTTAGTCAGCGACGCTGTGAGCCGGAAGAGAAGACCTGGGTACTTACAGTGCGTTTCTGGTACCGAAAAGTAGAGCGTCGTCCACCCTCGTCAATCCGCCGTAGTCGCCCATGATGCTAGGCACATCCCCCTTGAACGGGTCAAACAAGACGCCGTCGCCCGTGGAAGGTTCGCTTTCAATTTCCTCGACGCCTAACGCGGAGCCAAACGCCATCATACCCGGGGCGATCGTGCCCCCGCGCAGGTCAACCACGACCTCCGCATTGCGGCCCTCGCCTTCGCACACAGGCCCGACGCAAGTCACCCTGCCGCGGTCCACAGTGACGTGCGTGACACCTGCATTAGCAGTACCGTCCAGCCCGAAATGCGAGACGACGACGCCCGCCTCGTCGCCGCTCTGGCGCAAGAATACCTCCTTCACGTTCCGGAGCGCGACGCGGCCGGTAACCACCTTCTGAGGGACGAGAGGAGCCAGGCCCTCGTATTTGATCGCAGCCTCCCGCTCCACATCGAAGTTGGGGACTTGTGGCGGGTCGAGCCATTCTGGGGAGGTTTTCCCGAGGCCGATGCGGACGTGGTCGCTGTCATTGCCGACTTGCAGGATGCCGTCGACCCAGACTTTGCGCGGGGTTGCGCCGAGTTGGAGGGGGTGCGAGTCCCACAAGACGACATCGGCGTCGGCGCCCTCGCGCAGGATACCGATGCGGTGCGACAATCCGGCAGCGGCAGCCGGGATCGATGTTACTGATACCAAAGCTAGAGGTGGCGGAAGACCTATGCTGATGTTAACCTATCTGCACGCCCGCAGAATTCAGATTTCCTACCATAGTAGTGCGCCTGCTGAGCTTCAAAGAGGAGATCGCGGCTGTTGAGCGTGGGGTGGTTCGACTACTGCCGTGCTGAGAATGTACATGACTATCGACTGGCGTAAGGACTGACCTGCATCGCTACTGGAAATCCGTAATCCGCTAATACGCGAGGAGCGAACTCGGAACCACGATAGGCCTCTCGTTTGTTCCTTGATTCGTCGGCGAAAAGAGCTATGGTGGGAATACCCCCGTAGCTGCAAAAACAACCAAGTCAATCGTAATATGTATGTAACGACGAGATCAAGAGTGTTACGTTGTCTTCAGCAGCCCCGGTACGGTGTATGCTTCATGGGCGTTATGGAATGAGGCGATACGGAACTTGAACTCTTGCGACAGCTAGGACGTGCATTCACTTGTAAAGGAATGCTAGCGATCCCAGCTAATGAATCACATACCCTGATCGCAGCGTCCAAATCGACTGCCTCAGAGCACTGCATCGAGACCTACACGTTCGCCACCACTCAGTACGTTCTCCTTCGATGCCTCCGCGAAGTGCTTACCTTGACTCTCCCGCGCAGCACATCCACCAGAGTTTCCCACCGCAGATCTTCCGGATAGCTATCGTCCGAGATTTCGTTCCACAGCCCGGCTTCAGCACGCGCGCAAAACGCATCCTGCGCGTCGCGGACCCTGCGTGCCTCTGCATACGCAGAGCGGAGCGCCCACACGATATCCATACGGTTGCCATAGCCCTTCACATTCTCCCCGCAAGATTGCCTGAAAACAAGAGTGATTAGCATTGCCCGCCACATAGAACATAATATTGCAGTCGGGTATCGAGTGCATACATGAGGTAGCGCCAACGCCCAGGAAGGTTCGGGTCGGGCTTACTGCCGTTCAGAGCGTAGGGAGGCTCAATGAGCATCGATGATGGCGTACGTTCGGACGTCTTGCGCAACTTGACCATGAACGCCTGTCCACCTGCGAACGGTGTATTATGATCACACTCTTCCCTCAGCGCCGTTGCTCGGTCAGGGCAGTTTACCTATGACATTCTCGCTGCCAGGTACCACCTGCACGGTAGTCACGCCGCCAGCAACCGCGAGCGCAAACGCGTCGTCATGCGTATTGAAGCCGTCAATGGTCCTCAGCCAAGGGAGGATTGGGCCATGCGACGAGCTGTAGTCCAGAGCGCCAGCCGTGGCTGGTGCACTGAACAGTCCTATGTGAGCGTTAAGGTCCACTGCACAAAGCCCTCCGCGTCAGCCTATGACTTCAACACGAGAAAACCCTCATCAACACCGACCTAGCC